ATAAACATTAGATAATAAAATAAATATTTGATAATAAAAGAAACATCTCCAAGACCAATATACAGTAGTATTTAAATCATACTGACAGCTAACTGGCTCATAGGAATGGCATAATCTGTCTGTCAGTCCCTCACTTTCAATAAGACTGTAATATGGATGAATTTTCAGGAAATCTGGTATGGACATTCATAGTTCAAAAAGGATGAGTCCTACTGAGTTTAGTGATACCCGAATATCCTCAATCTGGATATGTTGGTTTATCCATCAAAATGTTTTTAGATTGGGATCTAGTGAAAAACAAGTATTTCATCTGGATTGAACCATGACAACATTTTAAATTATGTATAGGTAATACTTCCTATTTAATAACTGTGCAGCATATCATGAAAAGCTCAAGGCTAAACAAGCAATACAAGCTGCGGCAAGCTTTCAAACCTGTATTTGATACTCTCCTGAGAATTGTGCTCAATCTTTGTGATTGTATTAGAGAGACAAATCATTTGGTTATGCAATATGATCTCATTGATTTCAATTCAGCCTGACATGGTTAAAAGTAAACAGAAGGGCCATTGAGGGGATCAATAGAGTGGCTCTTATTGCTTTAATCGATAGGGAACACTTTAATACCGCACATATGTTAAGCAATTTTTTTAACCAATAGGACACAAAGAGTGAGGGTGAATGGGACCTTATCTGATCAAGTCAGCTCCTCCACTGGCTCCCCACAAGGATGTGTCCTTCAACCACTATTATTTATACTTTACACTAATATGTGTCAAAGTAGGTGGGAAAATAGGACTATTTTAAAGTATGCAGATGACTCTGTAATTGTTAGTAGGCTCCAGGACAATGAGACCAGCCACGGCCCTGTCATTAACGACTTTGTCAGGTGGTGTGAGGAGTCCTATCTACAACTGAACATAAGCAAAACCAAGGACATGATCATTGATTTTAGAAGACATCCCCACATACATGAAGTCTTAACAATCCAGAATCAGAAAGTAGAATTTGTGCAATCGTACAAATATCTCGGGACAATTATTGACTCAAAATTTAGCTCTGATCCAAACTGTGAAGCTGTGTGCAAAAGGGGGCACCAGCGTTTGTACTGTCTTAGGAAATTGTCCTATTTTAACATTGACAAAACCATGATGATCATGTTTTATCGTGCTTTTATCGAGTCAATTCTGTCTTTTTCACTAATGTCATGGTTTGGTAACCTGACTTTAAAGAGCAGAAACTCTCTGAGTCAGATCATAAAGTGGTCCAGCAGACTGATTGGTGAGCCACAGCTAAACCTGGAGACCCTGTACCTCAGGCAGTTACAGCGGTTATCCAGCTCCATATTAGACGATGACTCCCACCCTCTGCACTCGGAATTCAAGCTTCTTCCTTCGGGCCGGAGGTTACTTGTCCCAAGGAGTAGAACGAAGCGGTATAAAAACATTTTTATCCCAGCAACTATTGCACAAATTAACACATCTTAGGAGCGTCACACAGATGCCTATTTTTATTTATTTATTTAATTGTGAATTTTGAATGTCCATTTTTGTACTAGTGTTTTCCTTCTTAAAATGTTTTTTTTCTTTTCTTTTTTTTTATAAATATTTTGAGATTTGGTTGAGCAGGGTATACTTGTACTTTTACTAATCCTTTATTAGAGATGTGTCTGTTGTTTGTGTTTATTTTTAGTGTCAGGATGGAACCCTTGTCTTTTTCTCTGCAAACAGAATCTACCTACGGGTACAAATAAATAACCTGAACCTGAACCTGAACAATTCAAAAGTAAAACACCCGCCGATCCCCTGAACAGTTATTAATTTCAAAGTATTGATTGAAGTCAAACAGGAAGACGTTGAACACAACTCTCAAACAAATAGCTAAAAGGACTTGAAGAATAAGATCCATTCTGCTCACCCATCCCTTCATGCTGGCCCATTGGGGTGAAACAGTGTAATCTTCACAGCCTAGCAGTCCATGCGCTAATGTATGATAATACCTTTGGAAAGCCTCCGTATCCCATTGCTATCTGCAGGAGTGGAGATAGACTGCTTGTGTACACAACACACTTGGCCCGGACACAAAACAATTTCCCCAGTTCCCTTGTGATAAGTGAGCAGAAAAGGAAGAAGTTGAAAATTGATGGATAGAAATACAATAAATAGATTAGATTAGATTACTTTATTGTCATTACAAAAATGCAAGCACAGTGTAACACAATTTAAGGATGGTCTAACCAGAGTGCAAAACAGTCAGTTACATACACAATTATCAGAAGTATGTACCAAATAAATGATACAAAAATAAAGGTAAATAGATGGGAAATGTATAAATAGGAATAAATACACAGATAATAATAAATACAGTGAATATAGAATTGCGCTTCAGCACAGCACACGACAACAACAAATAGAGAAAGAGCGAGTGAGACCGAGATAAAGAAAATCAGGGAGGTCCCCAGGAGACGGGGAAATTCTCATCTAGCTTTATTTGACGGGGCACGTAAACCGAACGCTATGAGTTGAAGCAGTCTATAGGTGCTTTTCAAATCATTTATCATCTATTTCCTGTATGAGGGACTGCTAATGTGTGTTGACAGGAATTTCCAGTCCTGACTATGGAGTGCTGCGAATCTGAGGAAAGCTGACAGATACAATGATAGGCGACACTAAACGCTCACCTCCCACACACGGAGCCAGGGCTGACATGATGTGAGACGGAACGAAAAAAGAAAGGACAAGAAAAAATGAGTCAGACAGAGAGTGAAGGTGAAAAAGGGTTGTAAACACTGAGTAAACCCTTGCCTTGTATGAAATGGAAAGCAGAAAGCAGCTCCAACTGTTGCATTAGTGACCCCACGAGAGTGTGACTATGACACTCACAGATTGTACTTTCAGCAAACAAACACTCCAACTCCGGCAAGGTCACCTGTCCACTCTCGGTATTATATTTTCAGGAGAGACACGTTTTTTGTTGCTCACTAAAGTTCAATACAGTTTCTTTGTAGAAATGTCACAACTGATGCTTTACTTCATGTCGATATGTGGATAATACTGCACAATGACAAGAGGATACCGTGTGTTTATTCGTGTCTTACATTTGTAGCAGACATGGAGGGCGGAATAGCAATTAACATAATCCCACACGCTGAGTAGACAGGAAGGGGACAGTGACGGTGTGCAACCTTGGCACAACATGTCTCATTATTATCTACTATTTTTGTCAATAGTGCAGCTAGTAGGGGCGTTGGGAAGGATGGGATATGAATAAGGGTTGGGGGGGGGGTTGTAGAAATTGAGACACACCAGAGAATACACAAACATAACAACCATTAAAGTAATGGAACAGGAAAGGGCAGTAGATGAAGACATATCACCCTTGTGCTTTATTGTCAAGAATTCTACATGTTGTACATCCAGAAATATCGAAATATCGTTTCTCGCAGTCCTACAGTGTGATATACAATGCATCAAACAAAAAAAGAAAAAGGGCCTAGATAAACGTGGTATACATTAAACAAAACAAAGGGCCTGAGATAACCGGGGTATACAGTTTAAAATGTTAATAATATATTTAAAGTGTTCAAAGTACAGTTTCAGTTTCAGTGCACGAGCAGCGGAGATGGGCAGAACAGTGACTGGTGCTGGATGAGGGAGGTTGGTTGTGTGTGTGTGTGTGTGTGTGTGTGTGTGTGTGTGTGTGTGTGGTGTGTGTGTGTGTGTGTGGTGTGTGTGTGTGTGTGTGTGTGTGTGTGTGGCCCTGACACACTAGGCCGATTTCGGCCGTTTTCGTTAGTCGGAAGACGAAGCGTGTCCTGTCGCCCAAACTCAATTTGGTGTGTCCCACACCGTCGGCCGCGACACGCCTTATTTGGACTGCCTGACCCGATGCATGGCCGATTCAACACTCTGATTGGCTGTTCAGCTAGCAAATCAGTGCATGAGAAGCGAAACGGAAGTGAGTGACGTAAACAAACGATTTAAGAAGGCACACACAGACTGATATTCATTTTCATCTCATCATGGCGATCTGGAATGACGGAAACGAAGACCTGCTCATCACCTTGATCCAGGAGAGGCCAGCTCTGTACGACATCACAGAGAAAAGGTACTCGAACCGAGTAGTGAAAACCGGACTCTGGCGAGAGATTGAAACGTAACTTGGTTTCTCGGGTAAGATTATCTTTCTCATCAATTGAGCTCTTTCGCAGATACTGTTGGCTTTTTATTATTTGCCAGCGTACAGTGACGTTAACGTGAAATGTAATTTGTTATTTCAACCTTGTGTTTTCTTGTTAAAAGCTAAAAAATCTATTAGGAAGCTGCAGCTAATTCAGAACGCCGCTGCTCGAGTCCTCACTAACACTAAGAAAGTGGATCACATCACTCCTGTTCTGAAGTCTTTACACTGGCTTCCTGTGTGTCAAAGAATAGATTTCAAAATACTGCTGCTGGTTTATAAAGCACTGAATGATTTAGGCCCAAAATACATTTCTGACCTCCTGCTAAATTATGAACCATCCAGATCTCTCAGGTCTTCAGGGACTGGTCAGCTTTCTGTCCCCAGAGTCAGAACTAAACATGGAGAAGCAGCGTTCAGTTATTATGCTCCAAATATCTGGAACAAACTCCCAGAAACCTGCAGGTCCGCTGCAACTCTGACTACTTTTAAATCCAGACTAAAGACTTTTCTTTTTGCCGCTGCTTTTAATTGAACTATTCACATCTTAAACTGCACTGTAACTTTTATCCATGTATTTTTTCTTTTAATGTTTATTTTATTATCTTTTCTTTTTAATGACTGATTTTAAATGCCATTTTCTTAATGTCTTTCGTTTTTTGTAAAGCACTTTGAATTGCCTTGTGTTGAAAGGTGCTATATAAATAAACTTGCCTTGTTATCTTGTTGCTAGCTGTGCAGTTTGGCACTACATATAGATATTAATTGGACATGCTAACTAGCCACAATGCTTACATCGTTTATTTGTGTGCTTCAGAGAAAGAGCTGAGGAAGAATTGGGATTCTATGCGAACCCAGTACACCCGGTACAGGAAACTAGTTGTGGAGCACAAAGGACTGACAGACAGCAGTGGATCATAACCAGGCTGCAGTTTTTAGAGCCCTACACAAGAAGGAAGGAGAGTACTTCGAACCTCACCATCACGGTAACTATTTTATTTGTTGAGTACAAATAAGTGTTTCTTGCTTCTTTCATTTACAAAAACATTATTTGCATTCATTTGGTGGTTACAGTGTTAAATATAACAATACCAGAATAATATATATATTATTGTATTATAATTATTGATGTGCTCATCACCTTAATGTTGCAGCTGGTAAAGGAGGAGCTAATTGAAATTACATGATATACTGCTGGGTAGCTTATGAAATTCAAGATGGGATCAATAACGCTTTTATCTTAACCTATAAATACATGATCAAATATGTCTTGATTATATTTTGTAGTGTTCTGAATCTTCTAGAAGTACGTCTTTAGCATCTGAATAGAGCATCACAATGTGTCTACAATGTACCTCTCACACTTGACCACACCCCAAACTAATGGCACACACATTTCAGGGTATTGTTTTGTTATGAAAGCTTAGTAAACAGTTTTAAGAAGCCATGGTATTAAATCCAACTGACTATGAATTTATTTTAAAAAATGTAACGAATGTCCGGTGGCTGCAGAATCAACCCCCGGTGGCACCAGCAGTGAAACCTCGACCAGCACCACCAAGGAGTCCTTCCACTTTGATGCTGAGCCCTGCACTCCCCTGGCAGAATCCACCATCTGCACCACACCGGCACCGCGGCTCGGAGAGAGGCCAAGCACACTCAGCACTCGAAGGCCTCCGGCGAAGCGCAGGATGATGATACTAAATGAGATGCTGTCTACCGCTGTTCATTGTTCAAGATTGAAATGTAAATGTGCAAGCCGTTTTTCTGCCACTCTATTCACACGTATTTCATAGGTGATGGTTTCTTCATTCTCTAACTGTTGTGGAGCAGAACTATACAGTTGCAGGATTAGTCTCAAGTACCTCAATATAATTATAGTATGTCTGCACTTTATGTGCTCATTTCATCATTCAGTCATGTATTTTATATTCTACTAAAACTGAATCAAACCATAAACAAGGTGGCCTGTTGGAATTACTATATATATATATATATATAATATATCTGCATTATTTTATCCCACTTTATGCTTTGCTCTTGCTGCTTGTTTTACACTGATTTGATATCTTATTTCTTACTGATGTAAAGCACTATGAACTGCAATCCCCTGTATGAAAGGTACTATACAAATAAAGTTATTATTATTCCGATGGATGTTTCTGCCCCTCTGTTCATTATCCTCCTCAATCTGCCTAGAAGTATTTTAATGTTGTAACTGTTACTATAACCAATACTAATGCTAGGGCTGCAACTGACAGTTATGTAGGCACATTGTTATTGTTTCTTATCGCTGTGTGATTAAAAGAATATTACACAAATAGCAGGATAGGCAATGCAAAACTTTATTTCGTTCAACCTTCATGCACACATAACACAACATTAGAATGAGCTTTTATCAACGCCTACATGATGATAACCTGTCAACATGACAGGAAAATCCACATGACATTAATACAGAGCGGGCAGAACCCAAATCTAGCTCCAGTGCCGCACGAAACATGTTTTCGATGGACGAGAGTAAAAATGGAACGCACACGCTATTTGTTGTTTGTTTATATCAGTCTGTTCTTCTTCTCTGTCTTCCGGTTGTTGCCTCTTTTGAATGACGAATACACACTACCACCGCCTGCTGGTAAGGAGAGTTATTGCCACTCACGCACTGAAGTCTTTGCGGTGTGTTCCCGTGCGACACATGGCCAAGACGCAGGAGAACACAGCGACGCAACAGCCGGCGTCGGCGAGTCCTCTGGTGACTGCTTGGTGTGTCAGGGCCTTTAGAGTCCTGGACCATTTGGGGCAGGGGAGAAAGGTCGGAGGCAGGGTGGAGAGTTCATGGGAGAGATGTCAGAGGGGGGGAGAGAGTTCAGCATCCTGACCGCCTGGTGGAGGAAGCTGTTCCCCAGCCTGACGGTGCCCGAGCTGAGGCTGCGGAACCTTCTTCCTGAAGGCAGGAGGCTGTTGGAGGGGTGGGTGGAGTCACCCACAATGCTGAGTGCTTTGTGGGTGAGGCGGTGTTGTATATGTTTTGTAGTGAGGGAAGTGAGGCACAGATGATCCTCTGGGCAGAGTTCACTATGTGCTGCAGGCTCTTGCGGTCGGCGGCGGTGCAGCTTCCAAACCACAGCGTGATACAGCTGCTGAGGATGCTCTTGGTGGCGCCTCGGTAAAAGGACAGCATGATGGGGGGTGATACTCAACTATCTCCTTTGTTTTCTCCAGGTTGAGGAAGAGGTTGTTGTTTTGGCACCACAGGGCCAGCTGGTTCACTTCCTTCCTTTAGTCAGTCTCATCGTTGTTGCTGATGAGACCCACCACAGTAGTGTCGTCTGCAAACTTCACGATGTGGCTGGTGCTGAAGATGGGTTTGCAGTCGTGGGTCAGCAGAGTGAAGAGAAGGGGGCTGAGCACACATCCTTGGGGGGCCCCCATACTCAGTATGAGGGTGTTTGAGGTGTTATTGTTGACCCGTACAGCTTGTGGTCTGTCTCTCTGTGAGGAAGTCCAGCAACCAGTTACAGAGAGAGGGGCTGAGGCCCAGGTCTGTACGTTTTTGTACAAGCTACTGGGGGATGATGGTGTTGAATGCTGAGCTGAAGTCTATGAATAGCATTCTGACATATGGGTCCTTAGTCTGAGGCCCATTCCCAAACCGCCCCCTACACCCTACCCCTCCGTTTTCGCGTTCACTTGGAGAGTCCGCCATATTAAGTGCTGTTCCAAACCAACGAGTGTGGAGCGGTGTGGAGGGGGAGTGGGCTATCAAGCCCTCAAACAGCGAGTCTGCATCGGTGCTGACTTGAGACCGGTCTCTACCTGACCAGTCTCAACGCTGTGTGTGTCCATCAGGAAACAAGCTGTTAACAAGTAGTTCCAGCTAACATCCACTGATAAACTGCGATGTTAACAACCTCATGATAACCTCATATGTTTTAACTTTTGGATCATACCTGTGTTTAGTCTAACTTTTATTATAAAGTTGTGTATATTTACAGACTGTTGCAAAAACTAAGAAGCTTATAAACATCAGGTTTAAAACTAAGAGCTTTACAAAAAAGTAACACAATGAAATATGTTTGGAGATGTATTTGAGGTATTAATTTACATTTTTTGTCTAAGAGATGCTGATTTGAAACCGTTACATAGAGTTACGGCATTTCCTGTTCCTGCCGGAAAGAGGGGAGGCCGTCCCAAAGCTTGCCGCTGTATTTACTCCCTCCATCTGACAGGAGGGAGCCTCGTTGAGCTGCGAGTGTGGCAGATGAAGTTCACTCCGTCACGGAGGGGTAGGGTCGAGGGAGTGGTTTGGGATTGGGCCTTAGTCTTAGTGTCCAGGTGTGTGAGGGCTGGGTGGAGAGCGGAGGAGATTGCATCCTCGGTGGACCGTTTAGCTCGGTAGGCAAACTGAAACAGGTCCAGCGATGGGGGGAAGGTGGATTTGATCTGCCTCATGACCAGCCTTTCGAAGTACTTCATTATGGTGGAAGTTAGTGCGACGGGGCGGTAGTCGTTGAAGCCGGAGGGGGTGACTTCTTTGGCACTGGAATGATGGTGGTTTCCTTGAAGCACGAGGGAACAACAGCCTGGCTCAGGGAGATGTTAAAAATGTCTGTGAGGACATCTGTGAGCTCTTCCGCGCAGTTCTTCAGCACACGACCAGGAATATTGTAAGAGCTACCAAAATCAACTGGGAACTATTTGTTCAAACTTTCAAAATGAGTGTCCTGGAGATCAGTACACCTATATATAAAATAAAAACAGAGTACAATACAATACAACACATGCGACAAAAACAATTGGAAAAAAATTAATTGCCAGTTACAAAACATGATCAAATAGTTGTACCCTCTTATACTTATATATTTATAATTATAAAAATATATTTAGGATGCAACAAAAAAGGAATTACTTTAGGGCAGCGGTTCCCAACCTGTGGGCCGCGGTCCCCTAGTGGGCCGTGAGGGCATTGCAAGTGTGCCGCCAAATAATTAGCAAAATATTATGATTTGTGTGGAAACATTTTCATTATCAAGATCTTTTTGGATCTGAACCTCCTTTCCTTTCTTGATCCTCCTTAGCAACAGTCATTGCAGTCCTTGACAGCGGTCTGAAGTATACTGGATTAACAACGTGTCACTTTGACCAATCAGAACTTTATTTAGCCTCCATATTGTTTATGGTTGAATGTGGGCCGCAAACTTTTTTTAGATTCTTAAGTGGGCCCTGACTTGAAAAAGGTTTGTAACCGCTGCTTTTGTAGATCTCCAGCGTTTAAGTATTGCTTTTCCAAAAAGCTGGCAAGAGATACTAAAACAAGAGTGGCAAAAAAGCATATGGATCTCAAAAAACATGAACCATACAATAGAGACGAACGGTTCCTTACATATTATTGTTGCTGCTGCTGCTGCTTTTATTGATGGTGATTCAGGCTTCTCTTCAAACCCTGTGATGTTCCTGGCCAGCTCCTGCTGGTTGCTGAATGCCCACCTCTATCCGCTCAGCACAAACCCGCAGGCTATAAGCATCGACAACAGTGATCTAAAACACAACGTTCAAATTCTAGCTGAGAATAATGAATAGTGTGTGTGCACTATTGCATGGTTTCTCGCTCTCTGGGTCTGCTTCTGCCTCCTTGAGTCTTCCCTCTTCCTCTCAATAGCTGTCAGTCTGCCTCTGTTATTTCACCACGCAGATCTGGATGGTGTGAAACTAAAGCACAGAATGACAAAATGGGTGCGTGAAATTGGCTGTTGCATGAAATAACAGAAACCTGCAGGAGAAATAACTTTTGTTCACCTGTCTTAAATGCATATTTTAAATGTGTGCATAAAAGTGGAATAGAACGAAAATGCGAAAAACTCAACATTTTGTTTTGTTCTTGTTGTTTAGAGTTAGTCATCACACACATGACGCTTCACTGAAAAAACACAATGCAGATACAAAAAACTTCAGATCTGTGTGTACACTTTAATGTTCCACAAATGAATGTATGAAAAAAAGTCATATACTCCTTTAGGCGTTTTTAAAACGTTCCTATTATTAAGGGAGTCAACATGTGCTATTTTATTTTGATGATGTCATCTGGTTAAGCATTCTGCATTGGCATAATGACACCTAATCGGAGAGTTAGCGCAAGTAGTTGATAAAAGCATTTAAAATTAGAATTTTCTTCGATTGATTTTCCTACAATGGGGTAACAAATGTATCCAGGCCAGGGTGTATACTGTATGGGTACATTGGCTATTTAAACCCTGGGTGTACTCTTAAAAGTACACCCAGGTTACTGTAACTATACGAGACTATGCTATTTGAACCCGGATGACTATACTGAACAAGGCTGTTTGCAAATATTTTTTTCAAATGGCACTTCTCCTGGATGGAAACTTGCCTGGTTATACAACAAATCTAGAAATTGGAACGGACTAATATTTAAAAGAGAACTTTCCAAAAACCCGCCTTTGAGTGAGTGTACTTGAAGGAAAGACTTGAATTAGCTTTAAATATCTAATTCCTTTGCACACACGAATATACACAAACATTCAAAAGTTAGTGTGGAAAAAATAGCAACCCTCAGTGACTTTAATATAATCAAATGCATACAGTATGGCATGGCATACAATCAAAAGGGTAAATTTAATTACTGTACTTTGCTAGGGAATAAGTTAATGTGAAATGTAGATTTTCTGCCTCTATCACAGACCTCTAAATAATAAATACAAGGAAAAACATCATAATGATAAAGCTTATATTGACAACCATCAAGGCCTTTTAAAATATTTTCAGAAAACATCTAACAGTATTTCACAAGATCATGTCAAGTTTCAATCTAATCTACTCTAACAGTCCTTGTTGAAACACAGACATGCCAGCGCACACAAACACATCCCTCATCATTATTGAGAATATAAATAACTGCGCAGAGAAGTAAATATCAGGTAGACAGACACCAGGCTGACTGCATCACTCCTCACACAGATGGCTGTCTGATTTCCATACTCTGATGGAAGACTGGCTGTCATTTTTTGTTTGTTTATCATCATTACGTGAATTGACAGGGCACTGGCGTTATTTGGTTCTCTACTTTCTCCCTAACATGGACCGTTTGCTGAATGTTTTGTTACATCAGTTTGCTATTTGTGTGCTGTGGAGT